GCCCGAGCGCTCCGAGCGCCTCCGCCAAGCTTCACTGTGGCTAGAGCAGCGCCCTAGAGTCACGGGGAGGGAGGTGGAGAGTTACGTGGGTCATCTCATTGATCATCTGATGCTGAAGAGGGAGCTGCTCTCGATCCTCAGGAGTTTGTATGATTTCGTCAGAGAGTGCTATCACGTGCGAGCCCGTCTCTGGCCCTCGGCTGCCCGCGAAGTCGAGCAGTGCCGTCGCCTGCTGCCGCTGATGTCTGCCAACCTTCGGCTTCAGTGGTCGCCGGCGGTCTTCGCTTACGACGCGTGCTTGACGGGTATGGCCACGTGTCAGACAACACTGTCATCAGATCTTGTCAAACGTATCGGGTCAGTCAGTGAGAGATGGAGATATCGCATGCCTTTGGCTATCTCGGCACGCCGTTCTGCTCTGGGAGTCCGTTCTGGAGGCTATGAGGCCTCGGAGGGGCCGTTCGACGTCTTCAGCGACATCGAGACCGTCAAGGCCCCCAAGAGCACCAGCATGGACCTCATCAAGGACCCCTGGGAGCTCAACCCGCAGTTCACAGAGGTGCCCGTACAGGCTCTGCAGGGCCCCCAGTGGAAGCAGGTGGTCTCGGCCAGGGTTCACGTCAAGGAGCCCATCACTATTATCGAGGGGAGGGCTTCGAACATGACATCTCGTCATATCACGAGGGCCCAGGCCTCCTTTGGTCTCCGTCATCTACGTTTTGGGGACAACCTCGGCACCGTGCTCGCGCTCGGACGTGGGCGATGCTCCTCCTATCCCCTTCTGCTGTGCTGCCGCAGAGAGGCTGCCTACTCCGTCGCCACTGCGTCGCGGTTCGAGCATCGGTGGATACCTTCGGAGCTCAACCCCTCCGATGAGGGGTCGAGGCGCTGGGGTGCCAAGTCGGGAGGTGTCCCGCCTGCCCCGCGCGGTGTCCGTCAAGCGCCCAGCTGCCAGCCCCAAGATCGTGCAGAAGAGTTTTTTGAAGGGCAGGCCGTTTGTTGGGGCGACAAAGGAGGAGAGGATTGCTCACCGTCTGCGGGCCTCTGGGCCGTTCACGATGGTGGGGGAGGACGAGAGGAGCTTCCTGGAGTGGAACGCGGTGGCGCCCGAGACCCAGGCATGCTACAGGGGCGCCCTCGACGACTTCCAGACGTTCGTGGACCTCTTCGAGCTGCCGCTGCACACCGCGGCTCAGGTCGACCTGGCGTTGATGAACTACGCCGACTACGCCTGGGGCATCGGGCTCGAGAGAGCCGCCGTCCTGAAAACATATGCCGCGTACATCTCGGCGCACCCCGACTTTTCCCGAAAGGGGTCGCTCCGCCTGCCGCGTTTCTGTCGGGCCCTCCAGGGTTGGAGGCGCCTGGGCCCAGGCCAGACGCGCCCGCCCATGCCCTGGCAAGTGGTCGCGCTGGTCGCGCTGGCGATGGCCACGCAGCTGGGGTCTCCGCGCGCGGCGCTCATGGTGGTGACGATGTTCTGGGTGTACCTCAGGCCCTCCGAGGCCGTCGGCCTGCGCGAGCAGGACCTCTTCCTCCCCTCGGGCTCGTGCACGGACTACGGCTTCAACCTGCACCCCAGCGCGAGGGGCGAGTGCAGCAAGACCAGCTTGTCGGACGAGAGCTTGCTCCTCGATTCGGTCGAGGTGCCCTGGCTGGGCCCGCTGCTGGCGCGCGCGAGGTCGGGGGGCCCGCAGGCGCCGCTGTTCCGTCTCACCGCCGCGCAGCTGGGCGTCATGTGGCGTCAGGCGCTGGAGCTGGCCGAGGTGCCCACCAGGTGCGTGCCCTACCAGCTCCGCCACGGTGGCCCGTCGCACGACCGCCTCAAGAGGTATCGATCCATGGGCGAGATCAAGAGGCGCGGGCGGTGGGCCAGCGACTACACGATGAAACGCTACGAGGCCCACGCGCTGGTGCAGCAGGAGCTGGCGGCACTCCCAGTCGACGTCCGCCGCAGGGCCGAGGCGGCGCCCGCGAAGCTGCGCGCCGAGCTCGAGAGGCTCCTGGCGCGGCCCCAGAGGCCGCGGACGGCCACGCCGTCGGCGCGGCTGCAGGCGGCGCCTGCGCCCAGCATGCGCCGCCCCGCACCTTCTGCCAAGGTGCCGCAGCCCGTGCCCGTGCCAGGCCGTTCGTCGAGCTCATGTGCGGCTCCGCCGCCTTGGCCAAGGCCGTCCACGCCGCCGGCTGGGCTTCGGAAGGCTGGGACTACGCTGACGACCCGCGAGCCGACCTTCTTGATGAGTCCCTCGTCGACAGTCTGGTTTTGAGGATCTCACGGAAGGAAGTCGCGGGGGTGCATGTCGGCTTGGACTGCAAAACGTGGAGCCGGGCAAGGAAGAATGATGGACAGGGTCCGCCGCCGCTCAGGGACGATGCGAATGTGTACGGCCTCCCTCTGCTGGCGGCGGCGGACGCTGAGAAGGTGAGGCTCGCCAATCGTCTGCTCGCTAATGTTCTGCGCCTGCTGGCTGCGGCCGTCGAGGCGGGAGTCCCCTTCTCTCTCGAGAACCCTCGCTCGTCTCGCCACTGGCTGGTCCCAAAGCTGCTGGACATGGCCCGTGACGCTCACGCCGAGTGGGCTTCTGTTGATTATTGCCAGTATCAGGTCCCCTGGAAAAAGGCGACTACCTTTTTGCTTTTCAATTGGCTGCCAGCGCAGCCTTCCCTCCGCCTGTGTTCAGGCTGTCAAAAAAGGTGTAGTGCAACAGGTAAGGCACACATAACACTGAAGGGTGAAGACCCGCTCGGTGTGTTCTGGACTTCGAGGGCGTGCCCTTACCCCGCGGCGCTCTGCAAAGATCTTGCAGCGCTGGTGGTGGCCAAGGCCAAGACACTGGATGGCAGTGGGTAGGGGCTCAGAGTCTTGAATGCCGCTCGCTCAGTCCGTTCAGGTCAGCGCCATCGTGCTGCCCTGTCACCGCCTGTCGCTCGTTCTCTTGATTTGCTTCGAAGCAGCGGAGCTTGCCGAAGGAAAAGTTGATCTTGGGCCGGGTAGCAGCCTAAGCTCATGCTTTGTGCTTGCACATTAATGATCTCTTGCTGCGTTCAGTGCCGTATGTTGTACTTATGCTCAAGTTTTTCCAGGACCCGCCTGCCGTCCCCATCTTCCACCTTCCTGGGCGTCACTTCGCTCCACAGGGGGCTCAGAGTCTTGAATGCCGCTCGCTCAGTCCGTTCAGGTCAGCGCCATCGTGCTGCCCTGTCACCGCCTGTCGCTCGTTCTCTTGATTTGCTTCGAAGCAGCGGAGCTTGCCGAAGGAAAAGTTGATCTTGGGCCGGGTAGCAGCCTAAGCTCATATGTATACACATATACATATATATATATATACTTGTACACATATATATATATAATATATATATATATATATATATATATATATATGAAAGAGCGTGTTCTACCGCTGCTGGCGGAAAACAGGGGGGGTCACTACCGGTTAACCCCCCCCCCCCCGCTCGAAACCGGGGGGGTCACTACCGGTTCGAACCCCTCCCCCCCCCCCAGCTCATCATGAAAAGGGGGGGGGTCACTACCGGTTCGAACCCCCCCCCCCCCCCCTCGAAAACCGGGGGGGGTCACTACCGGTTCGAACCCCCCCCCCCCCTCGAAAACCGAGTGGGGGTGCGGACAGTGGTGGGGACGGTGTTGGTGGGGACAGTGGTGAGGGGATAGCGGGACAGTGGTGGGGACAGTGGGACAGTGGGACAGTGGTGGGGACGGTAGTGGTGGGGACAGTGGTGGGGACAATGGTGGGAACAGGGGGGGACAGTGGACAGTGGTGGTGACGGTGGTGGTGGGGACAGTGGTGTGGGGACAATGGGAATGAGGTGGAAACAGTGGGACAGTGGAGGGTACAATGGTGGTGGGGACAGTGGTGAAGGCGGTGGCGAGGACGGCGGTGGGACAATGGGACAAAGGTACAGTGGGGACAGTGGTGGGGACAGTGGGGACAGTGGTGGGAACAGTGGGACAGCTCAGTGGGACAGCGGAGGAGTCAGTGGGACAGTGGGGACAGTGGGGATAGTCGGGCAGTGGTTGGGGCCGTGGAGACAGTGGGGAGAGTGGAACCGTGGTGGGAACAGTTCTGGGGACAGCGGGGACAGTGCGACAGTGGTGGGGCCACTGGTGGGGACAGTAGGGGCGGTGGTGGAACCAGTGGGGGATGTGATGCGGACGGTGGTGGGGACCGGGAGTCGTTTGCTGGCGGTGAGTAGGGGTGGGGGGGGGGGGGGGGGGTTCGAACCGGTAGTGACCCCCTCCGGTTTTCCGGATCCGAAGGGTAAGGGGGGGGGGGGGAGGGGTTCGAACCGGTAGTGACCCCACCCGGTTTTCCGGACCCGGAGGGGGGGGGGGGGGAGGGGTTCGAACCGGTAGTGACCCCCCCCGGTTTTCGAGCGGGAGGGGGGGGGGTGGGGGAGGGGTTAGGGGAGGGGGCGTTTTTGCCGGGGGAGGGGGGGGGGGAGGGTTCCAAGCAGGGGGGGGGGATTTTCGGGGGGGGGGGCGACCCCCGGGTTCCGGAGGTAAAGGTTGGCAATTTTCCACAGTAAAGCGGCGGTCGATCACGCTCTCTGCTCTCTCTCTCTCTCTCTCTCTCTCTCTCATATATATATATATACAGGTATATATATTTGATAGCGAGAACAAAATTATCAATACAATTCCTTATCCAATGCCTCCAACCGTCGGTACCCATTCGTCGCAAGCGCCATGTCGCACTAGGCCACGAGGCCGAGCCCAGAGGGGCGTGCCGCCCGCGCGCGAAGGACGAAGGCTGCGAGACGCGGCGCCGCTCGGGCATGATACAAAGGAATGATTTCGATCCGATCGATCCGATCCGATGTGGATTTCGACTTGAATGTCGATATTCCGACGATCCGATGCGGCCCGATTTTTGCATGACGTCATTGTTTACTTCATTCGTTCGCCCCCGTGACACTCCATCAGCATTGAAGACAGTAACGCGACGGCTCACAGCCTCGAGGCCCCGCATGGGGGCTGGCAGAGCTCGGGAGGAGATGCGGAGTGTGAGTTTTCTGTACTGTACATCCTTGCAAGCCTTTTTGCTGGCAAACTGCTGACAGTCGCGGTTCTTCTGCTCGTTTTCTTCGTTCGGCGGAGAGTTCTGATAGATGACATCTCCTTGCAGGGCGATGGAGTCGTTGTCACCACGACGCGCCAGCATTTGCTGGTCAATATGCCCGCGTGCGTCGGAGGGGGCTCCATACCAGTTGCAATCACTGGAGTGCCAGCGGGCACGCGCGACCAGCTGCGACAATCGGTGCAGGGTGCCAGGCGCGGCCAATTCAGGGTGACGAGGATCGACAAGACGTCACTGGCACTGCTGACTGCGGACGGGCATCCGATCGATTGGAGAGTAGACGCGTCCACTGGCCTGTTGGAGGTGCCACTGGTGATGGGCTTGCTGTGCACTGGCAGGGGCAGCCTGACTGTGGCATCTTTCGTACCTCTGTTGCTCGCCGCGGTCGCTGTCATCAGTTTCGTGGTTCCGCTCGCAGCCCGTGAGTTGTTTATGATATTTGGTTTCTCTTCCGTCTGCGGAGCGGCCGCCGTGTTCTGGAGAGTGTACGCCAGCATTCGTTGGCAACGTCGCACCAGCAAGGGTGCGGCGCTGATCCAGTTCAAGAGACGCCTCGCAAAGGGCCGTGATGGGCACAGACGAATGCCATCGTTGTACCAGGCAGACAGCTTCCCTTGGAGAAGTACTCAGCGTGACAGCTGCAGCTCCGACATTGGACCCGTGAATGACAGAGAGCTGAGGGGGCTGCCTCCTGTGTCGGGAACAGACAGCTGCCCTCAGAGACGCAGTCGAAGTCCCGTTGACAGCCTTCGTGTTGCATCACCTGGCCAACGGGCTGTGAGCATTGGCCAGATGACTGACCTGATGGAACATGTCGGTCGCTTCGTACGAGATCGTAGCATGTATTATCTTGTGCCCGAGATAATCAAGCCACTCACGGAGTCAGAGAGGTTGTCTTATGCAGAGGTGGCTGGATGTGGCCACGTTGATTGGTTCGTGTCCCACTATTGGGGAGATCCCTTCGCAGAATTTGTTCAGAGTTTGCAGAATCACGCCAAATGCTGTGCGGAGACGACAGCTCATTCAACCGCTTCGTGAACTCCGCCAGCCCACCTGCATCACCGTTGCCACGTTTTTGTGTGTTTGTGAGGATGGGGGGGGGGTTCTGCGTTTGGGTGTTTTGCCCGATCTGTCGTGTGACGTTTCGTGATGAGAACGACAAGTTGGGCCGATAACGGGAGAACTTCAACAGGCACGTTCCCATTCAAGCTTCGTCATGGGAGCTTGATAACACGAGAAGGCAAGCGTAATCAACAAAGACACGTGTCTACGTCAATAAAGTCAATTTCGAGGGTTGTCGTGTGCATCATGCTGGATTGGGGGGTCCTTTGGGGAGCGTCTCGGGGCCTCTTGGCAGGGAGCCTCTCAGCTGGTTCTCGGTGCTCCTTAAGGACCTTTGCGGGCTACCTTGGACAAGTTGTGCATCCTGGGCCATCTTAGGATCTGTCAATGATTGAGCCCAGCTCTTGGGCCCTCTTGGAGTCCTCTTAAGGATCATTTTGGCAGCTCTCGCCCTGCTTTCGCCTTGCCTGGGGGAGGGGCGGACAGTTTCGCCAGCCGCCCCCATCCTGGGTCCGCTTCGCTCGGGCGATTGTATCGATAACTACAGTACCTGACATTTCTGACTGTTGGATCTCACGAGCCTCTGGCCTGATGGGCCTGCGAATTCAGGTATTTTTCTAGCATGGCGTCGGGTTCGGTATTGGGTCTGTTCATTTTCCATCAATCAATGGAGTATTGAGGAGGAGCTAGGTGGTATGACAATTGAGAGCACGCCATTCTACAACGCGTTATGGAGTACCTCTTGTAATGGAACTGTAATGGTAATTCAAGAGACGGCAGAGCCCCTCAAAAGAGTGTGGTGCCTCTTTGAAGTCTTGCAAACTTTGAACCGACTCGACAAGTCGAATGCTGCCAGATTTGAAGGCTTACACTTTACTACCCGATCAGGTGTGCTTAATGCTGGCACAGCTCCCGTCGACACAGTGCTGAAGATTGGTGCGCATGTTAGCGATGTGTATTTCGAGCACGCCCGTGCCACAGAGCAGAAGGACCAGGACTTGATTAACAGGGAGGTCCAGGCGAAAGGGGGCTTCGCTGTTTTGAACCGGTTCGTGCGCAACGCGGTGTGGGACGTCGTCCTCGAGAGCAAGGGTAAGTTGGAGACCAGCATTCTCGAGATCGGTTCCCGGCTCAGAGTCAGTACGGTCGAGTCTGGCGAGGAATTGCAGAAGTTCGGGCGAGTCATCGGGGTGACCATTCTGGGGGCCAGCGGACTGCGAGAGGCCAATTCGATGACGGTGGCGATGCCTTATTGCATATGTCGGGTTCTGGGCAACACGGCCGTGAAGCCGGTGCGGACAGGCACGGATTGCAACACGTTGGCTCCACAGTGGAATTCCGGGCCCTTCTATTTCGAAGCTCGGCAGGTCGTGGGCAGGGTGCTGGAGTTCAGCGTCGTGGACGATTCCTGCCAGTTCAGCGAGTCTGGCGCCGTGGAGCAGGAATCTAGGCCTCCTGCATGGGGTCCGAGCAGATGGGGTCGGAGGATTGCGCCGCATCGTCGATGCATCGGCGATGCGGCTCGATGTGGAGCCCGATTTGGTCCACGCTGGCGTCGCCGATGCTTCCCCGATGCATCGGCGATGCATCGCCGATGTGTCGGCGAAGAGAGGCGCGATTCTCCGACCCCATCTGCTCCGACCCCATCTGGCGGGGCCTCTGAGGACGACCTGCTGTGCTCGGCGTCTCTCCCCTTCGACAGGCTCTGGCCGAGTGGCTTCTCGGGCGAGCTCCCGCTCCAGGGGAGGAGCGCCGCCCCCGGCGCCGCACTGACGGTCCGCGTGCTGGAGGGCGGCCCGGGGGAGCAGACCGCCAGGGACGATTGGCCCGAGCTGTAGCAAGCGGGCGGGGGCGGCGGGGTCGCGGCCCTTCAGACCGCGGGCCTCCCAGCGGCCCAGATGGGGGCCCTGAGCGGCGATGAGCTGGCACCAGTGCCGGCGGAGGGCGGTGGGGTCACTTCGCTCGGGCGGTCCTTCCTCCGTCTACTCCTCGCTGCGGTGCTGCGCTGTCTGTCCAGAATCCAAAGTAGTTGGTTCGAGGCCAGGCCCCCGGCGGGAGCGCGCCGTTTTCCCTTTTGCTCACCCTTTCTTCCGCTCCCGTCCTCCGCCCCCTCTTTCGCAGCGCGCTGTGATCTAGCGTGCTTCCATCGCCCTGGTTCGAAGGCGGCTGAGAGCCGGGCGCCCCCCTCTCCCCTTTTGCAGCGTTGTCGTTGTCTCGCGCGTGTTCCCACGTGCCCTGGCTCCGCGAGGGCGGCCAGGACCCATTCGGGACGCCCTGCTCGTTGCCGTGCCTGGACAGGTGCGCGCAGCGAAGGCCCTCCGCGACCGCCGCGCCGGCGGCGGAGGGTGTGCGGGCCTCCCCGCCATGTACATACATGCCACCCCGGCTGGCTGGGGGGGGGGGGGGCGCTGGCGCTCAGCACGGCACGGGCGCGCGCCCCCCCCCCCGGCCCAGAGCGCAAACTATTTTTGGAGCTGTTCTTTTTCGACGCCCTCCGCGTAGTGGAGCAGGGGAATGCCCCTCCTCGACTGCTGGGAGCTCTCGGCTTCCCGCCTCTAGTTGTAGATTCGTGCTAAAGCAGCGGACATCAGGGTTGCCAGGACGCAAGTCGCCCGACCACGCCTCAAGAGGGTCGGATCTAGCCACCCGGTCACTCGGGCGGAGGCCGGGCTCGACCGCTTGTTTGTTGTGCTGGGCTTCCGTGCCGTGTGTTCTCCGTTATGTTTTGCCCAAGGGCGGTGTGCAGTGAGATGTTTCACTCGTAATACATTGTGCTCTGGCTATGTCCATCTTGCATGTATCTATTGAATCGCTTCGCTCATTCCGCCGCTATTAGGGCCTCCAAGAGGCCTCTTGGGGGCCTTTTAGAGCCTCTTGGGGGCCTCTTGGGGGCGTTTTGGGGGCCTCCTGAGGGCTCTTGGGGGCCTCTTGGGGCCTCTTAGGGGCCTCTTGGAGCTTCCTGGAGGCCTCTCAGGACCGAGGGCTCGAAATGTTGTTTCGTGCTCCCCCTCTGAGGCCGCTCTTGGAGCGCTCTAGGGGCCCTCTTGCGCCGTCTTGGAGGCCTCTTGGGCCGTCTTGGGGCCGTCTTGGGCCGTCTTGGGGCCCTCTTGGGGGCCTCTTGGGCCCTCTTGGGGCGATCTTGGGGGCCTCTTGGGCCGTCTTGGGCCGTCTTGGGGCCCTCTTGGGGACCTCTTGGGCCCTCTTGGGGCGATCTTGGGGGCCTCTTGGGCCGTCTTGGGGCGTCGGGAAGCCGAAAAGATGGAAACACCAAGATCTATCCAAAACCTAAGGGGAAGCAATACATTTTGTATCTTGGGGCCCTCTTGAGAGTGCTCTTGAAGGCCTCTTGGGGCGTCTGGGGGCTATCTTGAGCGTCTTGGAGCGATCTTGTGGCATCTCGGACCCTTGGTGTACCATCTTGGGGGCCTCTTGGGCGCTCTTGGCTCTTCTTGGGACTCTCTCTTGGCCCTTCTTGGGGCTCTCGCGGACGTCTCGGGGCTCTGTTGGTGCGCTCCTGGAGCGCTCTGGGGGCTTCTCCCGGGACCTTGCCGGGGTACTTTCGTCCGGGGACCCCCAGGGGCCGCCCCGCGCGCGCGAACTAGAAATACCGTGAACCAGTTACCGGAGATCTTCGCACGCCTCTGGCTGGCCCGTTGGGCGGGCGAATTCTGGGACCCGCTGTTTTCCAACGTGTCGGTGGTGATTTTCCAGCGCTCGGTGGTAAGGTCCCGGCGCGTCTCTGCCGACGAAAGTCGTCTCTTCTGCTGTCTGTCAGCGGCTTCGATGTGTGTGGTGCTCCCGGCGGGCCTAATTACCATGGCGCCAACATCGCCGAGCGGATTTCGTTCGGAAAACGACAGGATGGGCCCGGAGTGTCCTGGAGAATTTCGTCCCGGATTTCGGGGTGAGTTTCGTGTGGATGTTCTGGCCAGGAATGAAGAGTGACTAAAAGAGATTCATTCCAACTTCATTTCGTTTTTCACTCGCCCTCTCGGGGTTTTGCATTGGCAGAAATCCACGCAAAAATCCGCTGCAGCACGTCTGCAAGGTCGGCGCAGTGATAATACTTTCTCTGAACGCCGGGACGTCATCAGCGGTGTGTTCGGCATATGTAATCGCTGTGTTGCTCTCTCATTCCTTCTCTCTCTCTGTCTTCCCCTTATAAGTTCTCAGGTGGGACATCCTTTGCAGAGCGTTCTGAGGGTAAACTCCCAATCTGGAATCCCAACCCCTCACGAGAAAGCTGTGTCCGTCACGGAAAGAAGAGGCCCATGACCAGCGCACACAGGTCAGTCACCATATCAGGGGCTTGCTTTTCACCAGCACGGCAAGGCCCTTCACCTGACCACGGGCGGTCACATCTCGGAATGGTAACCTGGGGGGCGCGGGGGGTATGTAGGAGGGCGGTTTGTTCTAGAACGGCCCTTCGGAATTTTGCTCTCTGGGTCCATTCGTTTGAAGGATTCGCCTGGGCCTTGAGAGGTGTCCTGGATTCGTCTGGAGGTTGGTGGGGTGATCCTGGGGGGTCTTGGGCGTTCTGGAGGGTCGTCAATTACTATGACTGGGGCAACCGCATCAAACCTGGCGACCATCTCGTCAAGAGGCTGCAGCAGCATGAGCTGCATGAAGCCCGTGGCGAAAGCGTCTCCAGCCAGGACAGTTTGAAACACCTGCAACTCCTGGGAACAACACCCGTCAAGGTGAAGGACTCGGGGCGCACGATACAGCGAAATCTGGAGCTTCGCCAACCACAGCGGGAAGCCAAACTTCATCGCAGCTTGGACAAGGCAGGCGTGGGACACCTGCTCGAAGGCCTTCCACAGGTCAACAGGATGCTTGCAAGAAGCCCAGTCTTGACCCGGACGAAGATCGGCCACCATCGCAATCCATTCTGACCGAGCCTGCTGCTGCCACGCCGCCCTGTCACATGGGCGCCCTGAGCAAGCCCACCAGAACGACCTTTCGTTGGCCTTCTCCCACTGCTGCATGATTGGCCGCCCCAGCCTGCCGTGGACTCTGACCACCGCTGCCAGCAGCGCGATAGGCCGAAGGCCTCCATCAGCCTTGGGAATGAAGACCATCTTGGTTATGAAGCTGGGACAGTCGGCCTGCTGCTCGATGGCCATTAGCAAATCTCGATGAGAGCTTCAATGCCTTGATCATCCAACACATCGAACTCACTCGGCCGCATGCTGTCAAAGTTGGACCCAGACTGCGGCCTGAATGACGAGACCGCTTTCCGCAACTCATCCACGGTCGGCCTATCAGGGCGCTCTCCGAGGTCCGCAGGCCAGGGCAGACGGTGCCTCTCAGGCTCAGGCTCACGCGCAAGGGCGGGCTGTCTCGCCCCATCGGTAGGAGCCGCGACGACCTGGCTGGCCTCGGGCGTTACCGCGTCCCAGTAGACACTCCACTCGTTGACGAGGGCCTGCAGGCTCTGCTGCCGCGCCCTCAGCCTTGGCAGGCTTTGCGTTCCACGACTGCGCCATCCTGGTAACAGCGTGGATGCCGCCCGAGCCTGTAGCCACTCAGTGGAGCACCCAGTCGTTGTAGTTCCTCGGAACCTGATCAAGGTCGCGCTTGACTTTCTTCTGACCAGGCAAAGCATGCGGCGCTCAACATGTCTAATTGCTGCAGCGAGAACCCAGATGCGCCACTGCCAGGTGTGCCGATCACACCCTGCAGCTCCGAACGGTTGGGTGGCGGCTTGCCGAACAGTCGCTCAAGGGCCTTCAGCGTCCCCAATTTGGAGATACGCTTGTCGATCTGCGCGGCATCCCTCAGACAGATGGCAATGAACCTGCACCATGTCGCCGCTCTCGTGACCCTCGGCAGCCTCGGCGGGACGGGGCCGTGGCAGACGTGACCGCAGGCCTAGGGCGATTAGCACGCCCAACGTAGCTGTCGAGCTCGTGAATGAGCCCGCACGCGTCGACCATGTTGATCTCGGATTGCTTGACAAAGATCTGCCACATGCTGCCCAACTCGAAGGTCTGCTCGAGCTGGTCACGCACCGATCTCCAGGCTGGCGAATGGTCCCTGGAGCAGCACGCCGAAGGCCTGGACAAAGGCAGGCGCTTCGCCAAGCGCATGACGGTACCGTTCTGGTCCTTGTTTGGCCCGAGCAGCTCGAACGCAACAGGGTAGTGCGGGCCGAGGTCTTGCCCGTGGATGACGGTGGCCTTGGCGCCTCGGAAGAGCCTGAAGACCACGAAAAATCAATGATCCTGCCAGCGGCCCTGCAGGTGGGCTCCGTCGGGGCCGCAGCCACTGCTTGGGCCGCTTCCAGCCAGCCCGACTCAGCCAGGACTGGCGGTTCCATGTTGAAATCGCCGCAGACGACGAAAGGCCTATTGGCGGCTTGCAGGGCCCTGAGGACCTCATGTTGCGTGTGGGCGTTGCTCCCGTTGAGCCCGACGTTGACCTCCAGATACATGTTGACCCACGCATTGCCGCCTCTGCAGACGACGTCGAAGTGGGAGGTGATAGCTCGGCCTGGCACCAGCACTGCTGGCTTGCCGAGCAGCTCGAACGGTCCAAGCCCGAGACGATGAGGCGCCATCTGGACGAGCCTGCCGCTGCCCATGCGCCCTGCGCCAGCATTGATGGCTGGCGCTGCCTCGGTGACCCATCCGAGCCTTCGAAGCTGCCCTTCAACGTCACGCGTTCGTTGGCTGTCGAGATGCGTCTCCTGGACGGCGACGAAGTCGCAGCACCTGACTTTGGCCGTGCCCAGAAGCTGAGCGAAGCGGGACCACGCGTTGCAGTTGGTGGTGAGGCCAACCCACCAGTGACCCGCCTGAGCACTGCCACCTGCCCGCTCTGGCAGCAGAGACGAACGGTTGCCACCGATGGCCGTGCTGAGCTGGTTACCCGCTCGCGGTCTTGAAGCGCTTGGCCGCCCTGAGGGTGTCGAGCGCCTCCTGGAGCCTTCTTTTCTCGTTCTCGTCGTTGGTGCTGCCCAGGAGCCCGCCAGGGCCGTCGCACGCCATGAACCTGTCGAAGTCGTCGTCTGCATCTTGACCTCCCATGGTGGTGTCTCCTGCGCTTGCTGCCGCAGCGCCAGCGCCTTGGCCTCCAGGAGGAGGCTCGGAACGTGTTGGCTCAGGTGCAGGTGGAGGCCGCGAAGCAGCTGTCGCCAGCTCGTCGAGAGTGGAGAGTCTGGCCAGGACCTCGGCTCCCGATATGCCCTCCGTGGTGATGCCCGCGACCTCCTCTTTGACCGTGCAAACCGTATCGTCCGCCGTCGTGCCAGCTTTGCCGCCTGCTTCTTGGCCTCGAGCTCACTCTTGCGCTGAGCGAGGGTGCGCTCAGCTTCCGTCAGCGCCTCCAAGGCCTTGCGAGAGTTCTCCAGGAGCCGCTCCCGCTTGGCACTGGCGTCGGCCACGGCAAGCGAAACCTAATCGATTGCAAGAGGGAGCTTCCGAGCCTCAGAGCCCAAGACACCAGCGGCTGCCTTGCGACATGCCAGCTCTACCTTGTCCCTGCCGCTCTTAGAAAGCTCCTCCCTGCTAACGTTGTAAGATTCCATGGCCATGGCTGCGTAGGCTGCGATCTTGTCAGGCGTGAGCGTGAGGGTGGTGCGGCCAGCAAGACTTCCCCTGTTAGGCCCAATCCCCTTGCCACCGCGACCTTTTCCTCCACTCTTGGCGTTGCCAGCGTGCTGGGACCAGAGTGCACCTGCTTTGCCTCCGCCCACGGCCCACTTGCCCCCTAGGTTTGTGGGGGTCTCCTGCAGCTAGAACGTGATGATCCTTCTGCGCGCCCTTACAGCCAGCCTTGATGCAGAGAGAGAGAGAGAGAGAGGGAGAGAGATGCTGGGGCACATAGCCACCGCAACGCACGCACTGCCAGCAGTTCGCCATGAGAGCCAGAGGGTCCACGCAACCAGCAAGACCTGAAGAATGACTGCGCCCCTTCTGGCAGAGGGAGGCATGTGGTGACCAGGAGCGGACCTGACACCGCAAGAAGATGAATCGCAAGCTCGGGAAACAGAACTATCCCGATCACGCCTGGAGGCTGACAGCTTCCCAAACATTGAGCCAACATGGCTACGGAGGGCTATAGGTCTATAGGGTTATAGGGCTATAGGGCTACAGGGCCATAGGGCTATAGGGCTGTAGGGCTGTCAGGCTGTAGGGCTATGGGGCTCGTGGGCTGTGGGGCTATAGGACTATAGGGCCATAGAGCTATATGGATATTGAGCTATGGGGCTATAGGGCTATATGACCAAAGGGCTATAGGGCTATAGGGATGTAGGGTTATGGGGCTATAGGGCTATAGGGCTATATGGCTATAGGCATATAGAGCTATAGAGCTATAGGGCTATAAGGCTACAGGGCTACAGGGCTATATGGCCATGGGGCTATAAGGCTACACAGGCTATATGGCTATAGGGCTATAGGGCTATAGAGCTAGAGGGCTCTAGGGCGATAGGGGTATAGGGCTACAAGGCTACAATGCTATAAGGCTATAGGGCTATAGGGCTATAGGGCTAGTGGGCTGTAGGGCTGTAGGGCGATGGGGCTATAGGGCTATAAGGCTATATGGATATATGGCTATATGGCTATAGGCTGTAGGGCTATAGGGCTATAGGGCTATAGGGCTATAGGGCTATAGGGCCATAAGGCACCCGAGAACTCGGGCACACGAGCACCTAGGCACCTGGGCACCCGGGCACCCGGGCACCCGGTAATCCGTGCGGGCCGCGGGAATCGGTGGCAAACCTCACCTCATCATATGATACCGGAGAAAAACCGCAATCAAGTTCGTTTCATGGCTATAGGGCTATGGATCGATAGGGCGATGGGGCTATGGGGCTATAGGGCTATGGAACTATAGGGCTAAAGGGCCATGGGGCTATAGGTCTGCAGGGCCATAGGGCTATAGGGCTGTAGGGCCATAGGGCTATAGGGCTGTAAGGCTATATAGGGCTATGGGGCTATG